GGGGAGTTGAGGCGCTCCCCTCGGGTTCGCTGCCTGCCAACGGCAGTGCCGGGCGGTTGCTTCCCCCGGCGGCGCTGTCGCCGGGGAGGGCGGTCGCGCTGTGTGGAGATGGTCCGCTCGGCCCGGCCCGGCCCTCGGCCGGGCGGCAGGGGGTGAAGCACCGCTTGGGCGGCTGCGGGGCTCCGCGTTTGCACGGGGCGAGAGCCCTTCAGACGGCCGCTTACCCCGGCGGCTGCCTGCGCTGTCTGTCTGCCCGTGTGCTGGATTCACCCTGGGGGGGGGCATGGTGCTGCTGGCCTGAGGGCTCTTGCCGTCATTTTTTTTCCCCCTTTTTAATATTTTTTTTCTTAATGGGAGGTTTCTGTTAAATAATGTGAATGATGTGAAATGGTGATCTCAAACCATTTGGTTCGCTTTCTGCTTCTAGATCACTTCTGGTGAGCTGGTGGTGGTGAAGAATCTGAATGAATGGAACAGTTAGGGCAGATAGGAAGCTTGCATTTCATGCTCTCTGCTTACCACAAGACACAAACAACACTGTCTCTCTGAAGTGACCTGGAATCATTGGAGCTGTGTGTCCTGGGGACCTCTGAAGGTAAAAAAGCATTTGGTAGCATTCTTTCCTAACCCTCCGTTGCCCTAAGTGTTAAAAGGAGGATCCTGTTCCGTAGTGTCACCAGCCTTCTCCCCATATTTCCATCTTTTAGGCCTTCTGCCTATTCTGCTTTCCCAAAGAGCAGTCAGATGGCAAGCATGTTTTCTGAGAAAATGCCAGCAAATGCAGCCTGACTCTTTTGTGATGTCAGGTAAAAGGAGTTTCTTAGATGTGGTGGCCCGCTATTGGCTGAAGGGAGTGATTGCTGTAACAGGATAAAAATACGCGTATGTTTGTATTCCCCTTTGCTATGGTGCGGTAACTTCTTAAAACGCTTATATGTTCTCTGGTCTTACGGTTAATTTTTTTGCTAGAATATTTGCTCTTGTGCTGTTCTGTGGTTTGTTTTTTTTTGTTTTGTTTTTTTGTTTTTTTTTAACTGTACTGACTTGCCCCTTTTTTTCCCCCTTTCTATGAAGGGCACGCATCTAGTCATTCCTTTGAACGTTGCTGCTAGTTTGGCCTTTGCCTTTGCTTTTATGAGATGGTGCTTTGAAACTTCTACATGTCTCGCTGCTTTCGAAAATAATACCCTGTGAAGTGCTTCTGCTTGAGTGCCTGTTTACTGCTGCCTTGTGTTGTCTTATATTCATTGCACAGCTTAGTTTCAGCCATAACTTGTTTGAAGTAGCTTCTACTGTTAGAATAAAATGTGCTGGCCGTGCCATGTGAATGAACCTTTTGTAAAAACAATGAAGGCTTTTGCTGACAGCCCATAAAGTCAAAGTATTTCCATTTATTATCAATCTTTATGTCTTTATAGTTAATGTCATCTTTGGGAGTAGTAATGTTATTTTTGGTAAGTGAGCTTGGTAAGGCACCTCCTGCATATTGTTCTGCGTAGAATCTTTTGCAGAGCGTGGTATAATCTTGTAAACATGCAGTGTCTTTCTTCGTGGTCTTCTCTGGTAACTATTTCTTACTGACTACGCTTACTGCTCCCATTGAGCTCTGCCTGGGGCTGGGAGGATGGTTCTCTTCTTAACAGAGGAAAGGACACCTCGTTTAAGTGGGGGGGTGTCTGCTGTAAATGAAAATGCATTGGATATCCACAGTGAATGGGCAGAGTAGTCAACTACACTGTGGCAGGAAGAACTTCTAGTTCAAAATTTGCCTAAAGTGTTGTAGAGTTCTTCATCTCTTCTGTAAGTAGCTGAAGTGTTAGGCAGAAGCATGGAGGGGACCTTTGTTATAAGGAATTGGGGGTGTGCTCTTGCCCTGGCACTGTCTTGTCCTTACTGAAAACCCATGTGTGTTCTCTCTGGGCCAAATGCCACACAAAGCCACCCACTAGATTTTGGGGACTGCAGCCACCTCAGCTGCTTTCTACCTATCCCCGGAGCTGTGCATTACAAGGATTGAATGTCCGTCGATAGCCATGTCCCTTTTACCAAGTGAGTAATGAACACTGGACTGTGCTTTAATTTACTGTTTGATTTTTTTTTTTTTTTTAACCCTTCATTTTGCTTGTGAACTGCTCTTGGTTGACATCCAGCTGACATCAACTCTGCCAAGCCCACTGTATGCCAACGCACAGAAAGCTGCCCAGAAGTGTGTGGTTGTGTCTTAATGTTTCCAGCACCAGTGTTCCGCACCTGGCAGCAGGGATGTTGTATCTGAAAGTAAGATTTTTTTCTTTTTGAGCTGGTTGTTTTCTTTCTGTACATTAAGTACAAAGTTGATAGGACTTCATTATTGTAAGCATTTATATTAAAAGGCAGTGGCAGCAAACCGATGGCCAAATAATGTCCTGCTTACGTTCCTTTTTGCCGGACTCTGCTCTGAGGATGGAGCTTGTAGGTTCTTGCGATTTCTCCTTCCAGAGAAAGCAGTTTCTAAAGAGAGGAGCCTGTTGCAGAGGGTTCCTCTTGCAGTGAATGTGACTGCATTATAGTGGAAAATCCAGACCAGCCTGCTCTCCAGCCTGTTCTGCTGCTTGCCCTGAGAGGGAGTTCCCAGAGGATCTGCTCAGCTCCGAGCTCAGCTGGGCAGGAACCGCGTAACACAGCTTTGGCCCTGTTTGCCTTGTGAGAAGCTTGTAAAGTGGAGGGGATCCCTCAGTGAACTCAGTGGGGATGAGTAGTGAGGTCACTCCTGTACAGCAACTTGCTGGCTCCCTATTCTGCCCATCCAGTGTCCTGTCTACCCTGAGCGAGATGCTAGGGTATCAAAGAGAATATAAGTACATAACCAAGAATTAAACCCTGCACAGAGTATTTGCTTCCAAGTCTGGACTTGATTCTATGTCTTCTGGATAAATAAGTCCAGATACACTGTTTTCTCCCTCTCAATGCTTGTCCTAGCTTATAAGAGTTCACAGCCTGTGGATTATTATTTAAGTACAGTTGTGGTATGCAAACTTTGCAGTATTTTAAATGAGTACTGCTTGTCAGTTCACCAAAAATCACTTCTATTCTTACTTGTTGCTAAGGATGCAGTTAAATGAGGCACACTCTCTGTAGTATCCCTCCTTGAATATGGAAGTTAAGCATAGGGGATGATATGGGTACACATCATCTCTCCTCCCCAACCCTGTTAGCCAGTTTCAGCCAAATAGAGGTGCAGATGGGAGGGAAAAGAAACAAGAATGGCATTGTGAGCAGCAAATACTGGTGCTTTTGAAACTCCCTGCTTTAATTTGCACCTTGTTTCATAGTTCAGAATTTCTTATTGGCAGGTCTGACTTGAGTGCTCATGTTTTTCCTTGTGAATGTTGTGTTTTAAGGCATTTGCTGTTTCCAGTTGCGGTTTCTTCAGTTGCAAAGAAGCTAGACCAAAATATTTTGATCAAAGCATGTGGGAGAAGGGAGGTAGAACAAGCAATAGACAAGAGCTGATTAGATAGTAGCTCATGTAACCAGACTAGCTCTAGCTGCTGAGTTAACTTCAATTGATTGTTTTTTTTCTCTCTTTTTTTTTTTTTTTTTGGCAAGTGCATCAAGCCTGATTTATCATAATCCATAAATTGAATCAAGCACAGAAAACGCATGAGCACAACAGGCATCTGAGAGTCCTCTGACGTATTGCGCTATCTGCAAAACATTCCATGTATTAGCAATCAATTACTCATTAAAGTCACAGTATTTTCGCAAGTGTAAGCATGTATGGTATCTGTATTTTCCATGCCTTCTTTGACCCTGAATTTACATGGTTTGTGAGCACGACCCTGCCGAGGAGGGCATAAGTGACCCCTAACACAGGGAGCCAGAGCAAGGTTCTCCTGCCAGCACACGAAGGCCTTTCAGTTTTGGAAGCTCCTGTCATCTTGCTCCCATGGAACAGAGCACCCCTCGCATTGTCTTAGTTTGTCAGGAACACCACTGTATGTATTGTGGCATTGTTGCAGCTTTTATCATAATTTCTAACTTTGTCTTTCAGTGCTTCCTTTGTGTTCTGTCTCTAGTGCCTAGATACGTTTCTCTGCTTC